TGAATTAAATAAAATACGCTGAGTGAGGGCCAGCAGACTTTTCTGAAGTCATTCATATCGATGTCTGAAGACATGAAGAGATGCAAACCACGGGCCGAGATTCCATTTCAAAGACCACCTTGATGGAGCAGGAGATTTTATGGTAAGCAAAGATGAGAACAGCTAAAATTGCTTGGCTTAGGCCATTTTCCTGTATTCGTGCTGTTGTCAGAATTCTTGTAAACTATGGAGATTCCTGAAATATGAGAACAGTTTAACCTGACTGGTTTAATTATTAAACAGCTTGGACCAAAATCAGCTGTGGCTCATGGAGCTCTAACTACATTGAATTTGATCCCTTGCATGAGGACATCACCAATACTATTAGATTTGGAAGAATACGAACTTCTCCCTACAGGCATTAAAGAAATCTGCCTAAGGCCAAAACTGACATCATTAGCATGTTATTTCCACCTAAAGATGCTAGCCAAGATATTATCACTGATTCTGGGCATCTCCCAGCCTCGAATGCAGTTTTCCCCCCAATGTACCTCTGAGGCAAGTTCAGTCACCCTCATCTTACATATAAGAAAGGGACATAGCGATGTTGAACCCTTTGCCCAGGGCTTACAGGTACCTTGTGGTACAACGGAACTACAACAAGGTCTCACTAGTCCTGAGATAGAAACTTACTCTTAAATTATCCTGGCTCGGTCCAAACAAATCTTAAACGTACGGTATTTGTCCTAAACCCATTCTGAAACCATCATCGCGTTCTGCAGTAACTTATGGTGCCCTTCTTCAGCCTCTACCTACTCTTCACCCCTCTATGAAGAAGCATGGTGTCGGGGACTGGATGATGGGGGGTGGTACGGGAGCCCCCAAGCCCGCTGCAGAGTCCCAGCACAGGAAACCCCCAGGCTTCATCTGCCTTCAGACGGGATTTCGCCTTTGCAACTCAGCCTTTGACCCTCCCGGCTCCAGTACTTTTCACTGGCTTCCCCAAGGGAGTCGGGTGGCTGTGTCTCCCTGGGGATTTACCATGAACAACACGTGTGTGTCGCACCACTGGGGGTTTGCGGCTTTCCGTCAAATCCCCCAGGACGGGGATTGTGTGATCGCTCACCTGGTGAGTGGAGGCCTTGTCTACCCTGCAAAGGCTTTTCCTGGAGAGTTTTATCAGTAAAAACCAGTCCAAATCTGGAACGGCATACAGAGCAATCTATACTGGCAAACATACGCGCAAATAGAAAAACATTTTGGCAGCAGAACTTAACCTATGTTACCATGCTGGTTATGAGATTTGATTTTTCTCTCATGTTTGCAACCATTACAGTTAGGCTGACACTTTCTTAGGATTGAATGAAGTCTTATGAGCAGCCTAAACTATGGCTTAAATTACTTCTAAAAATGGTATCAAAAAGGCCTTCTCTTCAAAACAGGACACCTAATCTTTTTTTACTTCATGTTCCCTCCTTCAACTCATATAGTTAATAAGAAGATGTTCCTGGACTTAACATGGGAGTGACACCACAGCACCCATGCTATTAGGACCTGGAGTAATACAACATGGACAGGATGGTGTTCCAGGACATCCCTTTGTACAGTACTTTTGTACTGAAAAGGCACTTACTGGCAGAGGCGTACGTGTGTGTTTTTAGGAATGACTATTTGCTTGCTGCCCCTTGTGTTTGTTGTGCCGACGAGTCTGCCAGTGGTGCAACCCTCTTTACACAAACCCCCATCAGACGAGTCACGGTTGCTGGATCACAGCTCCTCTGAGCTGAATGTGCCCCCCGGGGTGGTCTTGGGGTGAGGGAACAGAACCTTCTTGGGTCATGATGAGCTACAGTGTTTACTAAATAAAATTTTAAAATAGCAGTTGATTTAGAAATGTCCTTTCAAACAGCTAGTGGTGTCATAGTGTCATACTATGAGAAGAATACCGTAAACTTAAATGTTATCGCTGATGAGATGAACATCCTCATTTTTTGCTTTTACTGGTAACAAATATTACTTCAAAGGTTTCTCATAAATGAGAACTGTTATCTTCATGTTCTGAGAGCAAGCAAGTTCTTCAACATTAATGAGTGGGGCTGCTCACGTTGGCCTTAAAGCTGCGCTAAAAGCACATGCAACTTACTAGTCACCTTCTTCTAAGTAGTGATTTATAAAAAATTACAGTTTGTTATTTTCAGTATTGCAGCTGTAGCTGGCATGCAAGAATACATCAAGTAGTTGCATATAACAAAAAAACCCCAAAACAACCAAACAAAAAATCCCAAACAAACAAAAAGAATTAAGTGAATATCCTAATTAATATTGCTATCATGATTTATTGAAGTTCTAGGACTAAATTCCACCTTAGGTTAAATCTTCTGGAAAAAAAATGACATTATTAGAGAGATTAATTTGTCCTCTGATTTTCTAAATCATTACAAGGACACCAGGAAATAAGATGAGATTAGAAATTTGTCAGGGGAATGTTTAGTTGTAAAAAAAAATAAAACAACTACAGGGCCAGGGTGAACACTAATAATAATAGTAACACACAGCACATACGAGTGAAGTTTTCTTATGAATACAAATGGATAAATTTTTTTCTTGGACTGCTACAAGCATCTGTATTTCAAATTTGCTTTCTTTTAAAAAGGGAGTAAAAATAAGCCCGATTTCTTTCAACAAACAATAGAAATGCAACAACTGTATCATGATACTTTATATGTTGCCAGAGATTAGCCTTTAAACCATTTCCACACATCAAATCTGCCAATCAGTCAACCAACCAGTCACCAGGCACACATTAATCTGTCTGTAAACTTAGAAAACAAAAACTGTTTGAAATCCCTTGCCCTCAATATCTCCTTTTAAGCCTTGCGTATCTTCAATCTAACCTCACCAGCCTTGGGAGGACGCAACAGAATTACCCCATTTTGACACACTGCCCCATGGAGTTTGCACTCTAGGTTGCAATTTAAACAAGGACAGACGATGCTCCTGCTCCTTGAAGTGCCGTGATGACCTTTACTGGAGGCTTCAAAATCCATTGGGGGTTCCCAGCATCACCGGGGGGACTAGCAGTATAGGTCCTCATGTTAAACATGAAAGCTGGCTGGCTTGGCATCAAAGTGAGCTGGCAGAGCTCCTCTGGCACTGGTGGCACAGGGTAGCAGACACCTCTTCCCCACCTTGACCCCAAACCAGGAACTGGGGGGCGAAGCCACTTGGAGCATATTTCTATCTATCACTGTATCTCAAATAACTAAATATAAACCACCTGTGCAGCTGCCAGAAATGATCCATCAGCTCCGGAAAAGAGAAGAGGTGGTCATTATGTCAAGCAGGCAATTTGCGTGCCAGAAATATTCCCGGGCTAATGCCATTCTGTGGGTAATAGAGAGGACAGGTTTGAATCAACAGATGTTGCACGGGACGATTTTCACCCCAAATCAGTTTGCAAACTGTTCACAGTGCAGACCGACAGACAGACATGGACAAGTGGCTGGCAGAGTGGGAAAGATGAGCGACATGATGTCGGGGCTGCGAAAGGTCCACTCACCAAATCCTAGCTTTAGGCTCCGGAGGACAAGATTTCCTGAATGTATTTGCAGATGAGTATACGCGAAGAATGTAGGTGCACATATACATTTGGTTATCCTGCTGTCGTGGTTAGAGCCTGGTCGGCAGCCAACCCCCGCAGGTGGTCACCCTCCCTTCCCCCTCCCCACCTGGGAATGGGGGAGGGGATCAGAGGGGGGAAGGGAGACTCGCAGGCTGAGATAGGAACAGTTTAATAATGGCAATAAAACGAGAACAATAACGATGATGATAGAAAAAAAAGAAATATATAACCAGGCAATGCACAGCGTAACTGCTCCCCACCCGCTGACCAACCCCCAGCCCGTTCCCGGCCGGCGACCCCGAGATACCAAGATCCCACAGTCGCAATCCTGGAAGCGAGAGAGAGAGAGAGAGAGAGAGAGCTCCTTCCCAGCCACCCCTCCTCTGTACAGTGAGCATGACGTTCCATGCTATGGAATATTTCACTGGCCAGTTTGGGTCGGGTGCTGTGGCCGTGCTCCCTCCCTGCTCCCTGTGCCCTGGCGCACGGGCAGGACACGGGCAGTCGGAGAGTCCTTGAACTCTCGGCAGCAGCTGAAAACACCAGTGTGCTACCAGCATTCTTCCCATACCAAACCCAAAGCTAAATCCAAACCACAGCACTCATCTAGTCCCTGAAAAGGAATATTAACTCTATTTCAGCCCAAACCAGGCCACTTGCATATGAAGGCAAGTGAAAAATCTGCTGGAGCATGAAGATACACCTCTGCCCTTTCACAAGCTTGCCATGAGGCGTGGGGGCTGCCAGCTCATTCACGCACAACTTCAGCCTTCATCGAAGGGAGGTCCTGCGGACCTAAACTAAAGATAGTATTTCCAGAAGACAGTTACGAAGTGTAATGGCTAGCGTCCCATACCACACCGGTTTCTCCTGCTTAGACTTTGCATTTTGGTCCTGGGACTATCTTGCCCCATCTCCCTCATTTTGTGTGGTTCCCCGAACAGGCTTTGTCCCCGAGAACTCACGAAGAAAACAGCACTTAAAAACTGTAGCTGCACGACTCGAGACGATCGCAAAGGCCGAGGATTTCTACAAAATGAGGCTGCCCGGAGCGTATTCAACCCGTCACCGTGGGGAACCACTGCGCGGACGTCACCCACGGCCCCATCACCCTTAGTAAAACACCGGGCGCCCTTCAGACGGCTGAATGTTGCGCTCTTCTGGTCGGCACCCGTCACTGCAGCCCTCTCGTCGCTGGGGGCTGGCGTGGCGGGGGTCGCCCCCAAGTGCCCCGCGTGGGCGCCGCCCCCGCAGTCGGGCCTCACGCCCCAGCAAAGCCCGCCGGGGCTCGAACCCGCCACCTCCCTGCCGGCCCCACCAGTGCTGGCAAGCCCCGCCCCGCCGGGCGCTCGGCCCCGCCCCCAGCTAGCCCTGTCGGCGCGTCACTTCCGGTGCGGCGCGAAGCAGGCGCCGGAAGCGCCTCCATAGCGGTCGGCGGAACGCTGCAGCGCTGGGGGAGCGCCGGCACCATGGTGGAGGTGAGGGGCGGCCGGCCCATCGTGACCTCCCTGTCCCGCCGTTGGGGCGCCCGGGGCGAGACGGGAGAGCCCTGCGTGGGTAGCGGGGCGGGGTGGGCCCGTGAGGGGAGGGAAGCCGCGGGCGGCCCCCCCCCCGCGCCCCGCCCCGCCCCGGGCACGGAAGCGCCGCGGTGGCGATGGGCCGCGGCGGTCCCTCCGCCCTCCCAGCCCCGGCCCGGGGGGCGGCGAGTGGCGCGCAGGAGGCGGGAGGGTGTTTCGCGGGGGCCGTGGGCTCTGTGGGGCTGGGAAAGCAGCAGGTTTGCTTTGCCAGGCGTCCGCCCGGTGCGGAGTCGGTGCTGAGCTCTGGGGAAGCGGTGCTGTGGCGCCCAGGCGGCGGTGACTTACTGGTGTTGTCAGCCAGCCGAGGAAACAGTAGTTTTTTCTGTGAGGGCTGGGAAGTAAAGCTGGGGGGAAGGCCGCTGGTTTCATAGGCCGTGGACTAGTTACTTTGGGGTGAACGTCGTGCACTTCTAAAAGCGAATAGTATTGTCAGGAGTGTATAAGAAGGTGCGAAGGCAGCTGCCCCATGCAACACTATTAGCTGTTTGTTTTTTTTTTTACAGACAAGCGTCTGTCAAAAAATATTTGTAGATGTTTGTTCGTTATTGGGAAGTCATCGTCTTACCTACTACTCATGTGGTGATTTTAACAGCTGCTGTTGTTGAATAGCAATTAGCTGCTGTAATTCTTATCTCTTTCTAAAGATGTATGAAATTCCTAATCCAATTCTGGGTGTTGTTTGTTTAGTTGGTTGGTTTTTTTTTTATTTCATACCTGGAGTTTGTAGGAGCTCACTGAGCCAGAGCAAAAACCTCTGTGTAGGTGCTACTGAGTTAGGAGGGTAACAGGCACTGCAAAATGGTTTTGTGAGTAGACTAACAACTTCCAGGACAGGAAAACAGAACCTACAGGGAGCTTAGTAGGGAAGAAGCACCTGTGTAATGAATTTTGAAGGGTGGTCTGTTGACTGATACCCAATACCCAATGCCTGTAGTTTTCAGTTTGTTGCCATTATTTGTGTGACATACAGAACATACAGTCATGCAGAGAGTTTTGGCTTTGTAAGTAAGCAGGCTCAGATTTGTAATTTTTTTTTTTTTGTCTATTGGGAAGAAAATATTCATTTAAAAAATGAATTGTGCTGTTGATAAGAAAATATTCTGTATAAGTTAATAGCTTTTTAATTCTGCTTCTTAGATCCTGATTGGGATGTTTTGCTCATCGTAACAAAAAAAAAAAAAACTATAAAAGGAAAATAAGTTTTTCAGGTTTGATCCCTAGTTTTCACTCAGTAAACTGCTGTGCTTAAGTAAAGTGGCACTGTGCACAGAAACTGGTCAGTGCTCTTGTTCTTTTTATGGTGGTAGTGAAATAGAATTTATGGAAGTGTTTTCAGAATTGGTTACTTTATCACCTACATGTAAAAACAGAGCTGGGAAGGATGAGGGGAAAAAGCTTTCATGCTCATGGGTTTGGCATGTAGATGCCAGTGCAAAAAGTTTGATCACAGTTTTTGGCTTGCTTTTTAAAGTTTTGGCAGTTTCCAAGAAAAGGAGTGTTATTTTGAGTAAACACTGAATTAAAGCATTTAACAGATTTAGTTCCCAAAAGGAGTGGTGTTTTTTGTGAAATAAGCAGTGCTATGTCATCTGACAGTACTGAAGTCTGAAATTGCTACTCAGTTCAATTTATGTTTCAGTTTTCAATTTTTCATTTAATTATGTCCCAAATGTATTTGAATGTTCTTTCCTTTATTTTAGGAAGTCCAAAAGCATTCTGTACACACGCTTGTGTTCAGATCTTTGAAGAGAACCCATGATATGTTTGTAGCTGATAATGCCAAGCCTATCCCGTTAGATGAAGAAAGGTAAGTGCTGCCATCAGTGAAGTTAGTGAACTATGTTGGTGATCGCTCCATCCAGGCCAGGAGTTCAGGTGTTTCTTTAGAGTTAACGGTGTAGTCCTGAGGGAAGAAAAATTTTAGAATTGTAAAGTAAGCTGTATAATATCTTCTCTAAAATACTTCAAAACTTAGTAACAACTCAAAAATCGGAGTTTAATCAGGTTTATGCTTTACTTTTCCAACAGTCACAAAGTAAAGATGGCAGTCAAGCTGCGTACGGAGTATGGCTCAGTGTTACACATGCCTACTCTTAAAGAAAACTTGAGGGAGAAAGGAGGCCCAAACACGGGGGATCCTTATGGACACAAACAGTATTCTGGAAATCAAGGTTAGTTTGCTCTTAGTGGTATATTTGTCCTCACTGATGTGAAATCTGAAGAATGCAGTCCAGTGTTAAATCTATTAGGGATAAATATGGAAATCAAAATGCATTTTTTTGATTGTTTGGTATTTTTCTTGCTAGGGTCCACAGGAGGTAAGTAGTTCAGAACAAGGAAGAAGTTTGTTTTAACAGAGGAGTAATAGGATGTTCTGAAATTTTTACAGTAATTCATTAGTAAAGAGTAATTTTTATGGTAACATTAGTGTGTGCTGTACTTAGGTGTTGGAAGGAGAAAGATGAGTAATACATTTCTCCTTTTTTACAAATTTGTGGTGGTCAAAGACATGCTCTTGTTGTTTTGGATTTTTTATTTTGTTTCACAGTTATTTTTTTTTTTTTCAGACTTCGTTTAGCTGTCTAACTATTAAACCAGAAGACTTTTTATTTTAAATCTGCAGTTTTTTCAGTCTATGTTTGGTTATGTATAAAAAGTGTGTGTATTAGGTAGATCCCATATGAAAACTTCATTTCTGAAGAGTGCCAAATGCTGCCTTATTTCAGCTGAGATTTTTTTTTTTCGCCAACATACTTTATGTGGAAGTATTCTGAAAGTGAAAAATTTTGAGAGATAATGAAAAATCTTTTTAAGAGAAGAACCCTTTATCTTTTCTGTTACCACAAACAATCATGTCTTGACTAGCTTACATTTCAGACACCCGTGCTATTTGTGTACTTGAATCCTTTTCCATCATACCTACTTTTGACAGTATGAAGATTTTTTTCTTGAGAGTCCCTCCTGATAACAGGTTGCCTCACCATTTTAAAAGTGTTTTTTACTATTGAGTTTTAGAAAACTGAGATAACCAGAACAAATGAAATTAATGAAAATAATAAATGTCTAAGTATAGTACACTGGAAGTGATTGCTGGTTTCTCCTGCTATATATGACCTGCTCTGTGTTCCTGTATTTCCTGTCTGAGTGCATCATTTGCAGTGCAATATAAAATGTCATTATTAATATGACACTTTATTGCTCTTTAGGACAAGAACTTGAGTATTTGATAACGGGTACCCATCCATACCCACCTGGGCCTGGTAAGTAAAATTCTGTGAGGGTTTGCCTGGGTTTTTTGCCTTCCTGTAAGAACTAGGTATCCTGCATCCTAGCAGGAGCAGGCTTCCTCTTTCTGTGAATCCGTATGTGATAGTAGTGGGAAGTGCCATTCAGGTCTTTCATAGTATTGATGCAGAGAATTTTGTGGCTGATACATGGCCTGGCATAGAAGGTAGGAGGAGGATGTAGATACAGATGCAGTGTCTTCTCACTAAGCCTCAATCAATGTGAGCTTGCTGCGAGATGGTCACCCATTGCTGTAAGATTTATTTCACCTCCTGTGGTAATATCATCACAAAAATGTTCTGGGAATCTCTGCTCTGATATTGTGGTCTCCGTTCTCTTGGAGAGCTTGCTGAGACCCAGAGATCACTGGTGTCTCCACTGTTGTGGTAGAGCTGCTCTTAGAATTTTGTTGTGAATAAGGCGGGGAGGTTCCAGCTAGAAGGAAGTTGAATGACGAGGGAATGTATCCTGCTTTTCAGCACCAGAGCAGAAAGGTGTAGGTATCACTGCCTTACTCTGAGAAAGAGACATTAGGGTCTAATAATTTTAGTGACATTTGGTTTTGACTGTGCTTGGGAGGGTTACATTGCCCATTGCTAATTGTCACTGTTATTGATCAGTCCTGCTCTGCCCTCGTGGCAGTTTAGTTTTAGCTGTTGATCTTTTACTGTTAGTTCTTAAGTTGATTACAACTGTGGTGGAAAATCAGCTGTGGCTTGTTTTTTAAGTTAACAAATGTGAGTGTTCAGTGGACCCTCAGCCATTAAAGAAATGCACATAGTTGCCTGTAACTGTGGGGTCAAGACTTGCTCACAGAGGTTTCCTCAAGTTCAGTGTTCCTTTAATAGAATCAGATATGTCAGGGTTAAAAATTAAATTTCTTTTGTTGTTGTTTCTTGTCTTAACCTGGACATCTCACCTAAATACTGTTTTTGTTGTCAACTGCCAGAACTTTGGTTAGGAAAAGAAATAGAGAAGTGGGATAAATTAACCGGTCTGCACTAAAACTACACTTTGTAAAGCGTTTTAAATTTTTTTTTAAAAAGTGATCTGTTTGTAGGATGAGGTTATAAAATGTAAGTTGTAGTCTGAAATTCTCACTTTAGTAGTAGTAAACCATTTGTAGTTCTAGCGCCACTGCATGATGCCAACCACCACATAGGGATGGCATAATAAACTGCACTGAAGGACCTAATTTAGCAAATACTTCTCAAGATTGTGTTTATTTCTGTGATACTTGGTTTTCCATAAGAGTTGAAGCTGGATAAAAAGATGGACGCTGTTCCTAGTTAGACTTTTTTTTGTTTCTAGTGACTGGATCATACTGTTTCCTACTCTAGAAATTGTGTACCTGCATATGTAGTAGAATCAAGATGGAAAGAATTTGGGGCAAAATAAAAATTCAGGTAGATTTGGCTTGCATGTGAAAAACAATGTCATTGAATGATGGGATTTAATATTACAGGGGTGTGACAAGCCCTTGTTTGCAGATGTATGTGTATATATAGGTGTTTGTATAATATACTTTTCTGGATTTTCTTTTTAATAGAGTTGTCCTTGTTTTTTCCATGTGGTTATTTTGTGGGGTTCTTTTTTCAAGGTGTGGCTCTGACAGCAGATACTAAGGTCCAGAGGATGCCCAGTGAATCTGCAGCACAGTCCTTAGCTGTAGCACTTCCTGCTTCTCAGTCCAGGTACTGCTGTGTTACTTCATTAACCCTTGGTATCTATGGGAATTTCAAGGCAAAATACATCAGTCAGGATAAGAGCTACTTTGACTGTTTCGAATGTTCTAATTTATTAAATGTTTTAAAAAAACTACTTTTAGTGTGGCCAGGCATCGTTTTTTTGTACAGTTGGTTTTTTTCCTTACATGTCATGAGAAGCAATGGGCAGGAACTGGAACAAGGGAAATTCTGTTTAGACAGAGGAGAAAAAAGTGAGGCTTTGTTTGTTAGTGTCTTTTATCTTGAGGTGGTCAGGCACTGGAACAGCTTGCTGAGAGATGTTATGGAGTCTCCATCCTTGGAGGTGTACTACATTGACTGGATGCAGCCCTGTGATACCTTATCACAATAAAAGCAGGTTGATTCCAATTCATCAACCCTTTTCATTCAACCTAGGTTGGATGCAAATCGGACAGCCGCTGGCGTGGGTGATATTTACAGGCATGCTGGAATATCTGAGCGTTCGCAGCCTCCTGGGATGTCAGCGGTGAGTTTGTTGCACATCTAATGTGAATCGTATGTAGTGTTCACCAGATCACTTCTGGATTTGTGTGTTGTGTGGAGATCTCCTGACTGACTAATCAGCGTTGAGAGGTCAGAGCAAGAAAGCTTTAGGTTTTAGGCAAAGATGTAAGTTATAAAGCATAAGAGTAACCTTCCTTTTAACATACAGGCTATGGTGGAAGCTGGTGGAAACAAAAATTCTGCATTAATGGCAAAGAAGGCTCCAACCATGCCCAAACCTCAGTGGCATCCACCTTGGAAACTGTACAGAGTAAGTTAAAAATGTATGACGTAAACGTGCATCTAAAAGTAAGTTAATATTTTGGTCTATAAAGACTTCAAAGCGTAATTTTTCTTGTCATTCACAAAAATGAAATCAAACGAAAAGTGATTGCAACTAAGTTATATATGCACACTCTCTCCTTAAATAACAAAGAGGTTAGTTTACAAAACATTTTTCATTTTATTTAGTAAATTATTTTGTGAATATTATTAATTTTACCCTTTTTTTTCTATAGGCATAGCTGTATTATGATAAATCTGTTACAGAATTTGTTATTTCTAGTCAGATTTTTGGTAGAGGAACTCAAAGACAAGGTGCAAAATTTGAAACTAATAACGTGTTAAAGAAATACTCTAGCACTGTTAACAAGATGAAATTATCTCCAGAAACACTTAAAGGCAGTCAGTATCTGAGTCAGCCAGACTTCTTTTACTTGCTATGAAAGTGGGGGAAAAAGGTTGAATACTTTAATCACAAATTATCTCTGCAGTTTAGTTTGCATGACTTCTAGTCTTGTTTTTTAATTAGTCTAATTTGCCTTTTAATTTTTTTAGGGAGTAATAATAGCCATTCCCCCAAAATCTCCTATCATCTTTAAACATTTTGATGATAACATGTGGCAGGGTAGTGGAGTTGAAAGGAAAATATCTAATGATATGTATTGGTTCAAGTATTTTTTACTTTTCAGGTGCATCTGCTTGAATGTGCACTTTTTTTTTCCCTAAGGGGCTGATTCTTACTATGAAATTTAAGCAGTTTCATATTTTGTCTAAGAAAGTGTGACTATTATTTTAGGAATGCTAGGATTTCCTGATATTTAAAAATCTCATGGTCTCATATCAGAATTGTCTTGTTTTAGTACTGTTCACCTAAATATAGCAACATATGTAGGCATTTAGATCTTTAGAAGAGTCCTGAATGCTGTATTAGTCATAAATTTCAAGGCTAATCTCAGGAGGTAATTTTTTGAAAAACACTTGTGCTCAAAGGGATATATAGGTTTTCTAAATACAGCAGTATTGGAACATACTCTCTATAAAAAATAAGACAAATACCATTTGAAAAAAAAAATGGCACCAAAATAAGTCCATGAAAGTTTTAAGGTAAACAAATGAAAAATGCCTACTTGTTAGGACCACTTTATTTTCAGTGAGAGACTGTAAATACAATTCAAGTCACTGTTGATTCTACATATGAACAGTTTCAGAGAAGGTTTGCTGTCAAAATCCTTGCTCAACAGGACAAAAGCTTGTTCAAGCAACTCAGAAATGGAAACACAGCTGGAACACCAAATGTGGGTTTCATCTGTTGTTTAGGAAAAGACCAGTTAAAATGTAGATCTTAAGCTTGGTGTGAACTCATTTGTGAAATATGGGGACTTAAAATAGGTCACACTAATTATTTCTTAGATTTCTCCTCTGGAAATGCCAATTTCTATTTGTAGACTATGAAGAAATCTGGACAGCTATCTCATATGTATGTGGCTGTGGTCTCATCTGATCAGAAGAATCCACTTTAGCTTTCCAAAATATTTCTCCCTAAGAATTTTTGTTGTGCTTTAGATCTTTTGAAATGAGCTGTATAACAGTATATTAAATACGACATCCAGTGAAACCAAATACGGGGTTTTATTTTATCTGTCTGACTTTGGAGAAATTAGAGAAACAGAAAGGCCGCTGTAAGCAGGCCATTTGTTGGTAGAGCTTTTCTTGTGAGATCCATCTTCTGGTTTTTGTTACCAGAAAGTTTCCAACATACTCATAATTGCCCCTTATTTGGGGAAAAGGAGGTGGTGGTGTGCTTTAAGAGGTTATTGTATGGCAATGTGATTTAATAGCCAATGTTTTATATAATTTTTCTTTTTATTTTTGTATAAGGGCACCATACAGCAACATAAGGAACTCGTGCTTAAATACAGTCTTTCTCTGCAACACTTCAAGCGTTGAGCCGTGGTGTTACAGACTCAAAGGATTTGAAAAAGTTGCTTATAGGAACAGGGTCTTTCCTTATTGCAAGTTCCCTAAGTTTGGTATAGGACATGTAAATTTCTAGTAGTCTCTTCATTTAACTAAAGTAGAAGTCAAGCTCTCTTCAGATCTAATTTCACATTTGACTTTTTGGGGAGTGTGCGTTTCTTAGTTAATACTAACAAATTTCAGTGTTGGAGAATGGAAATGATATTGACTGATGTATGTCTATTATTTCTGACTTAGAAAAATTTCTGTTTTTTTTTCTTAAGGTTATCAGTGGTCACCTGGGCTGGGTGAGATGTATCGCAGTAGAACCAGGAAATCAGTGGTTTGTTACTGGCTCTGCTGACAGAACCATAAAGGTAAGAGGTTGTAAGAAATTGCTGACAAAGTTTGCGGGGGGGGGGGGGGAGGAGGGAAGCAGCAGCAGTACAGTTTTGTTCTCTTGTTATTTGAAAATGTCTCCAGCCCTTGGAATCAATTTCTTGATTGCTGCTTGCAGAATAATGAACTGCAGAACGTTTTTTCTTGTATTACCTAGTCTTAAAGGATTTGTGGAGTATTACTACTACTTGAGATTTCATTTTTACTTGGTGGTTGCTGGAGAGCAAATGTTTATTTTAATTTTTAACTTTAAATGCAACAGGATCAGTTACATCTGGGCTATTTACCCGGACTATCACTGTGTAGCTTTTACCTGTCTGCTTAAAAATACCTATTTTGATGCAGATTTGGGACCTTGCTAGTGGCAAATTGAAATTGTCTTTGACGGGACACATCAGTACTGTACGAGGGGTAATAGTAAGTGCAAGAAGTCCGTACCTCTTTTCTTGTGGAGAAGACAAACAAGTGAAATGCTGGGATCTGGAATACAATAAGGTACGCTGTAGTTCCTTTAATTGGAATTAACTGGTGGTGGCAGATATAAAAATCAAAACATTTAGAATATTCTTTCAAATATCCAGTTAGTATGTGTGTGGTTTTTTATTCATCTAGGTTATCAGGCATTACCATGGTCATCTCAGTGCTGTCTATGGTTTAGACTTGCATCCAACAATAGATGTACTGGTAACATGTAGCAGAGATTCAACAGCACGAGTAAGTATAGCATTGTCATGTTTTAACCTCTTGATATGTCGGTGTGTTTCAACATTGTCAGTCTGTGAAGGTGAATACTTATCGAAAGTTAGCATGAATCAAAATGAGGATACTAAGATGATTTATGTTGTCTTTGTCTTCCATTGTCAATGAATCTGGAGCCTGAGTACATAAAAACGCAGTTTCACTTCATGATGTTTTATTTCTTAATTTACTAGGTAGACTATCTCATATATGTATAGGATCACATAGGATTTAGGAGATGGTATGGTTCTATGGTGACTTTGTTATCTGTATGTCTAGAAGTTCAGTGGCAGGCTCCCTGCTCCCCTTGAAATTTGCTAGCTGAGGCAGTTGTGTAGTGAATCGTTGGATGAAAAATACAACTTAAGTACCATTTTTTAATTTATAGAACTATGGGAAGGAATTAATGTTATCAATGGCAGTGCCTAAAATACATTGAATATGACTTATTTACTGTGAATTCATAGATTTGGGATGTAAGGACGAAAGCTAGTGTGCACACACTGTCGGGACACACAAATGCGGTAGCGACGGTGAAGTGCCAAGCTGCAGAACCACAAATTATTACAGGTATAGTGGGCATGGTGTCACAAGTAACACGATTGAAAAACCTGATCATTAATGTATTTGTTCAGTAACTATGTAAGGGTCATAATGTTATCTTTGTTAATTCACTCAATTTCTTTTATTAGTTTTCTGTTGAAAATGGGCCACACAGGTTATTTCATGCTATTAATGGTATGTTTAAGCAAATAGAGCTATGCATTGTTTGAACATTTTTCTGCACTTGCTTTGTTTCTGGTGTTTACATTTTTGTTATAATACGTATTGAGATTTGCATTTTTCTGTGATGTTTCACAGTTCTCCCCAACTCAGCTAAGAAGTGTCCAGTACCATGGTTAAATATAAAGTTCATCATCTTTCCCGTTATGTCAAAGTCTAGCTTTGCTGTGTAACTACTTAGTTCTTGAATTTCAAACTGCATAAAAAAGACTATTACAACCCAGCATCTTTCTTGTCTGAGGTGGTATTAATATTTTTCCGTAACAAGCATAGTATTTTTCTCTTTCACATATAATATTTTGGCTGTCTTATCAAAGTAGTAATGAAGATAGAATCAATATGATGGTTTCTGATATTTTTTTATTTTCATTGCAGGCAGTCATGATACTACCATACGGCTCTGGGATTTAGTGGCAGGAAAAACTCGTGTTACTTTAACAAATCACAAGAAATCTGTAAGAGCAGTAGTGCTACATCCAAGGCAGTAAGTTTTCCTCGTTGTTTTATACTTTCACGGTTCATAACATTGTGCGGTGGCAGAAAGGCAGTGCCAGTAATGATTTAGAATGGTGGGACATAATAATGTGAAAAACTAATGAGCTTAGAATGCTGTAACAATGTACATAGCTGCTCTCAGATATCATTTACTACACTGACTGTGCTCCCCACGTACTGGCATTGGTGTACGTTAGCAATCCTGTGAATGTCTTATGTGTGTGCCTTTGCAGTCCTTGAGAAATCAGTGACACTAGGCTTGTAAGGCTAATAATAAATATGTAACTGAATGATTGTTATCAGAAAGTGAAGTAGTTTTGTAAAATGACACGTGTGGCTAATGTTAAAGGAGACAGTGATTAATACAAAGGGATTTTTTTGAATATGTGGTTCACTGCACAAGACATTTAAAACTAACTGGCCTTAAAAAGAAATTTCTTATGAGTATTTAATCTTTGAAGCAAGTGTTGTTGGAAGTGCTCTGAATTTAGATGCTCTATATTGTTGCCTATTCGGGTAAATCCCCATTAAAACAATGGAGAAAATGAATTCACATAGAACTGCAGTACTTCTGCACCTTCAGTATTTTAAAGTGAAATACTGTCAGTGCAGAAATTCAGCATCTTTGATAGGAATAAATTCTGATCCCATCTGTGTGCCTGAAAAATTGTAAAAATCTTACGATGGGCCTTTGAGCTGTAGCAGAGAAACCCCCTAGTTTTACTTGGATTCTGGAAAAAAAAAAAAAAAATCTGGTTTCAAATTCAACCATCATACCTCTGAAAATAAATTTGGAGTGTTTTTATCAAGCAGTAGCAGCTGTCAGCCTAGCATTTTTTTTATCTCAATATTTCTATATTTTTTAATACTCCTTTATCTTTTCCTAATAATCTATTTTTTTTTTAACTGAAGGATCTATTAAATAGACAGCAAATCACTTAGATATTGTGGCAATTGAAAATATTCCTACAGGCTTTTGTATGTGCTACCCAAATAACCTTGTAACTGCTTGCACATGTTAAAATGAGGGAATTGAATAGTTTAGGGTAAGTCAGTAAAACAAATTATCTTTCACAATTCACTTTTTTGCAGTGCTTTATCCTTGGTTCTGTAGTTTTGGAAGACTAGTTAATACTGGGTTTTTTTGTTTGGGGGTTCCTGCTTTTTTTTTTTTTTTTTTTTTTTTTTGCAACTAGCATTTAACAGTAGTTTCAGTGAAGGACATTTGTTATCCCTACAGCTATTTTGAACTTTCATATACTGTGCTTATTTTCTTTCAGTTACACATTTGCATCTGGTTCTCCAGATAATATTAAGCAGTGGAAATTCCCGGATGGAAACTTCATTCAGAACCTCTCTGGTCACAATGCTATTATCAACACACTGGCTGTAAATTCTGATGGTGTTCTGGTCTCTGGAGGTAAAATGAAATAACATGTTTATATTTCCCCTCTCCACTCCCCCATGTATATATGGCTGGAGGTCCTTAGACAAAGATGCTCACTGAGCTCTCCTTTATCTGGACCTGTAAGTCTGCTGGAGCATAGAACTTAATTTCATAGTGAGTAGGGCCACTTTTATCTTCTTGGATGTTACTGAGCTGTATGCACAAAAGCATATTTGAAAGGACATTTAACCCGCTATAGGGAAGAGGTTTCCGCTCCTTATTTGGCTGCTGCCCCAAGGCTGCAGGGTCCATCCTCTGTGATCTCCCGATCGTTATTGTCCCCTCAGGAGTGGTGTGGAAACTGGAAGCTGCCTGGGAGACATCTGGTTCTTTGTTGGCTGCTCCCTGTTAGTAACATGCTGATGCCATGAGAACGGATGGAGCATACAGAAACATCTTGATAAAGCTTGCTGTGCCATTTACATACGAGCTCTTCTGTTTTTCATGCAGCACAGATGCACTGCCTCTATTGTCTCCAAGTTTCTTGCACGCATTTGCTGATGTTATTTTTGTGTCATTTAAAAGGTGGATAGCTAATCTCCAAATTTTATTTGGCTCTGTGAATCAAACCCGTGTTTACTCAGCAGTATTGTATGTTCAAATGTTCTGAAATTAAGAAACTAGCCACTTGGCTCCAGTGCCTGTGGGAGGATTTTGTATCTTGTGACACATCAATTTAATTCTTTCACTCAGAAGCTTCAAGAATTTAGCAATCATCTGATACATTAGAGTATTGTTAGTGGTCTGTGAGCCCCCAAAGTCTTGGAACTATATTAGTTTGTATTTGTGTGTCTGTTGTGGGGGTAGGAAGGGAATAATCCTGAATTCTTACTGTATCATATTGTGAGTAATTTGATGTAAGAACATTTATCTCCTATTGCAGGTAGCATTTTTCTGTAGATTAATTATGCAAGTGCTCTAATAAAAATATTTTAATTGTAAGTATGTGTTACTAAAACCTTAATCTGTGATGTTTCAGGGAGTTTTATGTTTGTACAAGACAAAGTACATATGTAGACCTTTTTTAGTGACAAGCTTTTTTGAACATAGCTTCTGGAAATCCCAACTGGATTCAGATCTTTGTGTTAAGGCATTGTGCCTACATAGCAGGGAGATGGTGTGTTTTTAGTGTAGATGCTGTTATAAACAGGAAATGAGTAAACAGTGTGGCAAAGGGAAGTGCTAATTTTACAGCTTGAGAGCTGAGATCTAAAGGAACAGTCCAAGTTTGTATGGGAGAACAGAGTGAAAGCAGGAGGTTAAACCCAAATCTCTAAGGTCCTAGACCGGTTGCTTAATCATGAGATTGTCCTGGGAAAGCTCTAGCAGTCAGAGGAAAGTGAATTAAGATGCTAGACTGTATTGCTTCACGTAAGTGGGAGAGCCTGAGCTTTCATCTCTTGGTTTTGCTTGTCTAATCTTTTGGGTAGTTGTAAACAAGGGTGAGACTTAATTCACAGCATCACATGTGAGAAGACAGTTTAAGTCAGGTTCCATGAGTTTGTAGAAGCAGATACTTACGAAAAACATTATTGTGTTTGTAACCAGAGCATAACAAAAAAAAAGTAACAGTTAAGTTACACTTTGGAACAGTGAAATGTGTTTGGTCCCATTTGATACAGTATGTCCTGCAGGCTGGGGATGTGGGGTAAGATGGAAGTGTGTTGGAAGGAGTTGGAAGGTAGCTAATTATTTTGTCAACTTAGCCTGGTTATGTTTTCAAGACTGTATAAAGGGGACCTTGGTTTTAAAATTCGGATAAAGCTCTATTTGACAACTGGCGTGTTCATAGTGAGAGCAAGAACTTGACAGAATACTGGACTGGGCTCATGTTTCATTCTTCATTATTTTGAAGACACTTCTAGAAGGTGTTTGTAGGACTGGTTTTGTGTTAGTGGTAATTGAGGCTTTAGAAAAACTTTGTTCCTTCTCCACAGCAAAAACCGTATCATTTAATCATCTTATTTGTGACTGACTTGAAAATCAAAATTTGAATATTGATACCCCACCCTTTACATTTTTATCCTATCTACAACAACTTCAAAGAAGTTGATGCTGAATTAAAATAAGTTGAGGTTACCTTAGAGTATTTTACTATAGAAACACCTTTTTGAAACTTATGGATTTTGTGTCTAGCTGAAAGCTGTAGAGAAATTTTTAATAGATCTGTTTCGGCTAGAGAATGCTTTGGGAAGGGGGGCTGGTTTTTGTAACTGAAAAATTGCTTTGGGAGCATCGTTTTGAATACAGAGTTCAGATTGCTGTGAACATGCAGTAGCTGATGCCAGTAGCAGTAATACTGGCAGTGGGTTAAACTGTATTTGTAGCAGAACCTTTGCAGATATTAAGCCTGTTCCCCATTACAGGCTCCTTAACGTCTGGAATCTGTTTGACAGGATGATGCCTCTTTTGTTCAGCTGTAGTGGAGCCACTGAGCAGGGCGCTTGATGTTCAGGATGCTTCCAGAGCAACTTGCTGCAGTTGCCTTGTGATGTAGGGGATCATCTCTCTGGGTTATCTGATGCAAAACAGGATGAGATGCTGAGGAAGCTTCCATCAGCCTTCTTAAATAAGAACAACCTTTCTTAATTAAGAAGGAAACCAGTAGAAAATAGGTAACCTTGTAGGGTGTACTGAGCTATTCTACGTGAATATTATAGTTGATGTATTCCTGATATATTAATTGTTCATGATACTGTTTTTAGAAAACAGATAGAAATTAACTGGTTAAAATACTGAGTATGTTTGTTTGTTTGTTTTAGCTGATAATGGCACTATGCATCTTTGGGACTGGAGAACTGGATACAATTTCCAGAGAGTACATGCAGCTGTACAGCCAGGCTCTTTGGACAGTGAATCGGGAATATTTGCTTGTGTTTTTGACCAGTCAGAAAGCAGATTGCTAACTGCTGAAGCTGATAAAACCATAAAAGTATACAAAGAAGATGATACTGCGGTATGTCAACATGTCTTTTGAATGTATTTTCCAGAAATCAAAAAATTTCAAACAAATGTTACATGCATCAATAAGGGGCATGCACAGATTTGTGTAATCCACTTTTTATTGAAGTTTGAAAACAATGTGTGTGTAATAGTGTTAAGAGGACAGTAGCTAGTTTCTGCATTCCTAATTTCTTATTATATGCCATAGTACAAACAAGTGCCAGGTCTGTCAACTTTTCTGCAAAAGTCTTTGGTGATAAAGCTTGGAGAAATCTTAATACAAGGACATTGTGTTTTGAAGTCAGTAGGGGACTGTGGTTGGCTATATTGATTAAAACCTGGGAATTAACAAAAAGATTACATTTAAAAGATGTATTGTACTTCTGTATATGATCTAGATTAGTCATTGGCCATGACAGTTTTTAGGATTCAAAGTAAATAGCTTGTTTTCAAACTGTTAATCTCAAATCTGAATCCATTTACTAATGGAGAAAACAATAGATTATTTTACAGTCTATTGGAGTACGTTTTAAATGTAAAGAACATAAGGATTATTCATATTAAACCTTGGAAATTTTGCATTGAAATAGACTTGGAGCAACCCTTAGATGTAAAGGAGTAAGGAATGTTTTACCCATTTTGCAATTGGACAAACTGTACAAACTGTAGACACAGTGGCATCTGCTAATACTGATGTAGATACCGCTGGAAGGACTGCCTGGAATTCCTTGCTCTTGTGCTTTGATCACTACAGTGTTGCTTCTGAAATGCCATTGGCAACCTGATTTTTGTCTGTGTTGAAAAAAACAAAAGAAAACAAAAAACCAAACAAACAAACAAACAAAAAAAAAAACCAAAAAAACAAAACAAAACAAAAAAACCCAAAACAAACAAAAAAAAAAACCAGAACAAGTCTTGTGATGTCCTTCAGACAGTGGGATGATAGTAAATGAGGTAATTATTATATATGAGAGTACATTGTGTGAGTAATATTTTTAAACTAAACCCTAATTACAGGTGAATTTCAAATTAAAAATCATCCTTATGAGATTTTTAATTTTTCTCTTTAGACCGAAGAAACGCATCCTGTCAGCTGGAAACCAGAAATTATCAAGAGAAAGCGGTTTTAGTGCAGCAACATATTTACGCTGTAATTTTGTTTCGGCTTTCCTGAGAGCATTCAGTCACATTTTGTTCTGCTTAGAACAGCAGAGCAGGAAGTCAGCTAAGTCATTGCTATTTCAACATGTTTTATAATAAATTTTATTTCTCTTTCCTTTTGTCTTTTTTTGGTGTGATCCCAGCAAACCAGTTGCAGCTGTTAACTTTCTCTTTGTGGAGCATGTATAGTTCATGAAAAGGATAGATGTGCAGGTGGTGACTCTTTTATAGGAATCTATTGAGTGTGAGTCTAAAAATATTTTGATGAGCCAGGTTTTCTGAAAGACCGCTGCTTGACTCCAAAAGTTAATTGCAAATTTATGCATAGAAGCCATCTACTCGAAATTTCTTGAGTGACATTTTTAGATTTTAGACCAATATTGTTTACCGTACATATTCTAAGTATATACTGTAATGGAACAGTATATATACTAAATTACAGAGTCATAGGTTAATCAGGAAAGAAACAGGACAATACAAAAATAATGTAGTTTGCTTTATAAGCACAGCCACTGAGCATTGCCAGTGCTGTGTTGTTGAATGAAATGTTTCCTCAGAGTGTTTCTTTCCTTGGGAAAGCTTTCATATGCGACTACTCGTCTTCACTCAGTTCATTTCAGAGCAGACCTTCTACAGCAAGGACCTCTGTCAAATCGTATTGGTCACACTCACCACAGGGTAGGACCGGTTGACTTGCTTTGTAAATCATCTAGGGTCTCTTTCCATTTATCCAAAGCATGTATGACATTAGAGAACAGCAAACTTTTAAAACTAAGCTCTAAGAGGAAAAGCTCTTAAGTCATTCCAGCCTTAATTTCACATGTTGCTGTCTCCCCATGATCTTCTGAAGGAATTTCAAATAAAAGAAATTACTGAAAGATGAATTTGTTGTGTGGCACAGCACTGATAGTAAGCAGTTCACAACGATTACTTCTATTCTCTGCCAGTCTGACTTCTTTCAAATCTGGGATTTATGTTAGAGAAATGACAGTTACTTGCAACAAAACTTACAAAAAGATAGTAAAACTAAGTGTTGCTTATGTTATGAGAATTTTTGTCTTGTCTTTTGTGATGCACAGGAGGACTTGTATTTATAATTTGAATGTTTGACAGTGTCGTTTTAAGGGAGTTCATGCTGCATAAATAACTGAATTTTGGTTGACGGCTGTTGTCTGAAGCATCTTCACAAAAAAGAAAGGGGAGTATTTGGTATTTACAAGTTGTATTAAACGTCTTTTATTTGGATGATAATTTGAATTTTTCCAGATCTTTATTACAGCTGTTTTCATTTTAACTAACATAACAGGGAAAAATACAGGTTGTAGCTTATGCATATTTCATACTGCTGCCAATGCTTCAGTCCCAAAATCAATGAAGTATTGCTGTTACACGGAATTTTCTTGCTCACAGTGAAATCCTCTGTAGGAAACGAGAGTGGAGAGGAATAACTTACTTGACAAGGGGTGGGATTGTTGTGGGTTTTTTGGTTTGGTTTGTTTTGGTCGTTTCAGTTTTTGTTTTTTAGAAGTATCTGTTTATTTTAATCATTTAAAATTAGGAAGGGAAAATCAGAGGCTTTGGCTCACAGTTCTAGCACATCTTCACTGTACTAGCACTTTCCTTTAAACAGTGGAATAAATGCTTTTTTTTTTTTTATCGCTTTGAAGAGAGATCAGAAAGTCTGCAGAACCTGTGTTTCTTCCCTGAACTTCTGCAGGAATCTGCTGGCATGGGGCAGTGGTTGCCAGGGCATTCTTCTTGTGCTCTGGGTAAAGAATTGGTTTGCAAATTAAAGGCTACACACTATTATTTGGGATAATACTTCTCCCTTTTGCTTCTGTAATATGCTGTCACAGTTCTAAGTGTCATTTAAAAAAAAAAAAAAAGTATTCTTTAACATTTGATTTGCATGTTCATTTCCTTCCCAGCAGTTTTGTTCTTCCACTTGACAGTAATGTGAATATCATCATGTATACTTCTGTAAGTATTTATGACATATCAAGTTTATCAGTTTTCATTTAAGTTCCTTCTCTAGTGCAGAGTAAGCCTAGATAGTGAGTTGTGATACAGGTGTATCTGATCATGTAGGATACACAGTGACATTAGATTTGTCCGTGTAAGTTGTAAGGTGAAGCAAAAGAGGAGGATCTGGTCCATTGGGTGTATTTTTCATGCTTCTGGAAGGTGTCACACTGCAATGTCAGTTAAAGTAATCTTGAATGTGAGTCTAATCTCAGAAAATAATTGTCGTTTATTTCATAAAATTTGATGTTGTCTTCTGGATATGATCAAATCATACATGTTTCTACCACAAACCTTGGGTTTTGTTTTATACTGTACATAATTGCACAGAAGTAAGAAAATGTTTTTTGTTTGTAACATAATTCCAAAAAGTGTAACTGGTAAAAGTGATAAATCTTAAGATCACACTTTGCTGTGTACTAGAGCATATGGTATAAGCTATGCAGCTAGGATGCTGTTATTTGCTGGCAGCATGAAAGTTGTGCAGAACAGTGTGTCTTTGGCAACTTAAAGGCTTACAGGAGTAAATCTTTAATAGCCAGTTTCTTTTTAGTCCTGTTAGATAAGAATTGAAGTGCTATGCCTGATTTAAATGACAGCAATTTAGCCATCAATAAAACCTTCAATACAATATGATTTCATGTCTTTTTTTTTCCATTTGGGGTTATATAGTAAAAAGAACAAAAAATAACTAAATATATATTGAAAGTTAAAATAATTTAGGATTTAAATTGATTACTCTTTTCCATAGTGCAGTGAGAAATTGTTTTGCAGGTCAGCTGTAATGGAGAGGGAAAGTAGTGATGGCTGTTCTATGAAGCTTTTCCTATCTGCGTGAAGGGATTAGCAAATTAAATGCAAATTGTTCATTAATTTCTCTAGCATGTTTAAATAAAACATTGAAACCTCTCTGGAGTATGAGGTGTAGGACAGGTTCTTGGATGGGAGCTGTGTGGGTGGAAAAAAGCTTAAACTAATTTTGGTGTGTCTTACTGGGAGCAAATTAAAGGGCTATTTCAGTCCATGGCACATAACTGAAAATATGCTCATAATGAAGTCAAGGGGAGTTTTACAGTTGATTTTAAAGTCAAGGTTTTACTCAGTGGGGTGTTGTGTTTCTGTTTTTTTTTTTTTTTTTTTCCTCCAAGTGAGTTGGAAAAACTATCAGTCTGGCACATCATGTGTGCAAGTATCCACACAAGGTGCATTTTTTTGTGCCCAGGGTGCATCTTGCATTGTTTAGATGAGGCTTCTCAATTTTTATTGGTGCACCTAAGGAAATGATGAGGATTTGAAAATTAATAAGTGTCAGTAAGCCTGAAGAGCTGAAAAAGGTCAGCCTGAAATTTTGTTCTATAAAATTTAGCACTAGAGTAGCAGGACTTGAAACTAGCATAAATACAACTTTCTGTGGAAGCTGTTCCATAAGCAGAACACGCAGCTGGTGAATCGCTTCATCCTTTTGAAAGCAAACAAGTTGTAGGCTGAAATGAGCTTGAAGGCTGCATGAGGAGAGGGGAAGCTTTTCAACTTGTTTTCTGTCTGCAGTTCAAAAACTTGGCAGACAGGGAACCACAGGTTTCGCTGCTTGTCATTTGGGTAGAGCTTGTCACTTTGGGATGCTTCTTTAGCATCTGATGATGCTTTAATCTCAGCAGCTAAGAATCAGGTTTCTGGCTTTTACATCTTGAAGCCTTCTAAATTTAGTTCTGTGCTTAGTAGGTCAGAAGTTCACTGAAAACTGGCAAAAAAGTTCGTTGAAAAAGGAATGACCATCCCTGTATTAAAGATGATCCTTCCCAGAATTTCAATGCACAGAAAGGAATCTGTATTTCTTGCTTTGATTTTCAGCAAACTTCTGTGGGCAAGCTGATTGCAGGACTGGCAAAACGTAATTGCTTCTGTGAGCACTTTATTGCATGCACTTTTCCTATGCTTCCTTATCTTAAAAAAAAACCCAAAACCCAACAAAACAAAAACAACAAAAAAAATGCAAACCAACAAAACAACCCACAGAAGTTTATCAGGAGTCATTCAGTGTTGTAATTTCATCTAGGATGTTTCAGTAACCTGAAATGTATCAGGATAAGCATTCACAAATTTTGATGTTGGAAATTATTTGAGAGATTTTTCAGAGAAATGACTAAATCTATATAATTTATGAATTTATATAGATTTAGATAATTATATAAATTTATATAAAATTTTATATCTATATATAAAATTTTCTCAATTATTATGTATTCTACCAATTGCTGTAAAGCAGCAGTCAGATATTTTTAAAGATGTATAAGAAAACTACAGCTTTGCTTTAGATGGAAACCGTGGAGTTTCTAGATGTGGACTTGTTTTTTTTCCAAATGTTCCCTTAAATCTTTTTAAAGATTTTGACTTCATGGATTTACAGGATCAACCCTTAATGTTACTGTTTTCCCCTTGCTGCTTGGATTGAAACTGTGTTGTATCAGCTTTGTAATGTTGCTGACTTAAAGGTTCACAACTGAACATGTTAACTTCCTTCAGGTGCATGTAATCACCAGGCTTTTGTTAACCTTTCATTAGGGTTTTTGTTTTGAATATAATGAGTACATAAGCCCCAAATGTGTGTCTAAAGCATGGATTCCTTGGGCACTTGCCTGCAAATTAGCTCTCAACAGTACAAACAATAATTGAGTTAAATTATTGTCTCCAGGTAAGGAAAACGGAATTCACTGACAAGAAAACTACAGTTGAAATAGGAAATCCTAAGTTTGCACAGACTTGGGAAAACTTTGTGCTGCATTTTTTTTTTCCTTTTCTTAAAAAAACCCTGTACATCACATTTGTGTTTGAGAAGTGCAGATAATGTGTGTGAAACACTTGTTTCTGTCAACATTTTTTTGCAACCTTTCTGCTTTATTTTTAGGGAGAGCATGTGTCCTTGCAAGGCATATCACCTTTACTCTTTCTGCTGCAGTAATAGCTCTTGGGCTTTTGAATGCTGCATATTGTTAGGGGGGATTTTTTGTGTGTGTTTTTTGTTGTTGTTTTTTCTTCCAGCTGATGCATCGCTAAGAGGAGGGCTGAAGGGTTAAGTACTCCAGAGGAAGAGAGAGTCTGCAACATCAGTATGAATTATGAATACCTAGAGAAGAGAGAGACTTCCTGGAGACCAGATAAGAAAGCTGTAATTAACTGAGATCTCTCAGGGAGGTGAAAAGGACAGTAAAAAAGCACTGGAAGAGACAAGAGCTATGACAGCTGAAAGGAAATACTTGAAAACATGCTAGATTTACCTGGCAGGCTGGGGGAGAGGAGTTATTTCTAGATTAGATGAATGCTGCATGGGTCTAAAGGGAGGGATGGAGACGAACAGTGTGCTAATGTGGGTGCAGTCAGTGGTGAAAATAAAAACATGGGCATCCTGATGCAAATTCTTTTGACAGCAACCTATAAATGCATCTCTGAGAAGTGCAGGTATTGTGTGTATCTACATGCTCTGGTACCCTTGTGCTCTGATGTATAACTCAAGATACTTCAGAAAATTCTTTGGCACATGAAGAACTGCAGAGCAATGTGGAGTGAGTTGTCTGGAGGGCTTTGCTGCTGCAGTGGGATTTTTATGGAGGAAGCACTTGCAAGTACAATTCTAAACAAGGCTTAAGAGTAAAGCATGAAAAGTGAAGCCAAAGTTTGTGTTGTGAATAGCTTAAAAAGACAGTGAGGCTGATTTTACAATTGATTGAATTGTAAGGATTAGCTTACAACACTTGAGTTTGCTTCTTTTTGACAGGCAAATGGTGAGCTGTAGAATGAGACATGAATTCATAGCCCCAGAGTATCATGCTGACAGGATGCATTGCTGTTGAGAGACTATCATGTGATAAATAAGGGTGTGGCTTGTGCAGTCAGGAAAACTTCTGTGCTCCATCCAACAGCATTTTTTTTTTTTTTCACTAGGAAAAGACCACAAATCTTAACATGACTTAACTATTTCCAAGTAAATCCCCTTGTCAAGCAAGCTTCCTGCATTGACAACTGGAGATCTGCTCTCAATAAAGCAGCAATATAGAATATGAATAGAAAAATTCCATACAAAAATTTGAGCATGGCTTCAGCTGCCAGATGAGTTAAATTTCATGTCCTGTAAGTATATTAATACTTTCCTGCTCATTCAATTTCTTTTCTTCCCATGCAACATGGTAATGAACATGCTTCTTTCAAAGAAAGCTTGGCAATGCAAACCTACCAGAATCGATCAGTTCTGTTAATGACTTTGTTCTGTTCTGAAACTGAGAATTCCAGTGAATGAGTTTTATTATCCCATGTTGGTCTAAATCAATGTTTAGCAGGAAATTCAAAAGTAACGAGTGAGTCAAACTCACCATGGTAGCTAAATGAAATTATAGATAAAAATGCTTGCTGTTAATTAAAATGAATGTAGGGAAATGCAGTGTACTTCTGTCCCTGAGCAAACCATTTTTTAAATTTGTAAGTGAGGCTGTAAATGTTCTTTAGTTACCCAAGGGGAAAGCAAACTACTCCTGCTGTTATCCAGTTTCTTAGTGGTGTTGGTACTTGCGGTTGCCAGGTCAATAATGCAGTTTTTCTCCAGCCATTAAAATTGGGTGACTGCTTGAAATGGCACAGTGTGTTTCAAACTTTCACACCCTGAAGAAAATGTCCACATGCTTTCCAGTAACATAGCCCTGTGGTCTACGGCAGAGCGTTTTTTAAAGTAATATTCTCTCACACAGATTTCAATTTCCCCTTGATTTTTTTAGGCAACCGTAACGTTTAATGGGGAAAACACTGCTAAGAAATTGGAAGCTATCTCTAGCCTGTATCTTCAGCCTGATTAATTACGACCGGGTAACTCCTTTCTTTTCTTCCTTTCTCCCAAACTTGTTCTGGCTTTCTTTCCATCAGCATCGTCCCCATGGAGCCTGTGAGATCCTCAGCTGTTCTGGAGAGCTTCACGTTGTCCAGGCGCAGTGTGCCGTGCTGTGGATTGCTCTCCCAGGTCCCCCCACAGCGCTGCCTCGCAGCACCAAACACAGTGACTGAACCCCGTGGTGGGAAGTCGTTCTTGGAGATGGGAAAATACTGACTGGATGAAATCTTATTTTCTCTCCTGATAGGCAACCTGATGTTGACAGATGACTGTTCTCCCTCCATCCTCCCAGTTGATTTGTCTTGAGTCATCCTTCTGGTTATACAGCACACTCTATATAAAATGCTCTGGTGGTTGCTAGCAATGTCTCATACTGGTTTTAATAACAAAATCTGACAACAATTTTCACATTCTTGGCAGAATAAAGGCAAGTGGTAAAGACTGAATGAGAGAAACACCAAGGAAACCTAAACCAAAGTCAGAAAGAAGTTCAAGTAAATCAGGTCTGTGGGCTTTTTAACCTCCTGTTCTGCTCAGCATCAAGATCAGTAACAGTTTATTAGCCTCAGCTTACTGTAGGATAAGTTGAGACTGACCCAGTTGAGACTGTCCTGGCAAATGCTTTGAAGCTGAACAGGGGAAGTACTCAGGAATGCCAAAATCCATCTGCTAGTGAAAGGCTGTCCCCTTTCTGATGGGAAAATATCTAGCTTCTCTCGTGTTTCACATAATGCTCTTTACTGTTCTTAATTTCTTAA